CTCTCTGTGTCTGTCTAGCGAGCTCACGCGCCCTATAGCAAAAAACCTCCCCCCCCCAAAAAAAAAAGTATTAGTAGAGATCAGCCACTTGCAGAAATGACACAATTCGACAAGTAAGATCAGAACGAAGCTGTTCGGGAATGCCTGCTGACTTAATCCCACCAGTTACGGGACATCTATTTTTGATGAACTCCACAAGGGCTTATTTTAGAAGCTGTAGGTTCTAATTCTCACGTGCACTCACTGTGGAACCTCGGTGTACCAGTCACCTCCCTGCTTCACCACCTGCATCTGAAAACCAGGTCAATTCTGCGGGATCTGCCTGCTCCATGAGGTGAGGTTTTATATGGAAAAGTAAGAAAGGGACAGTGAACAGAGAGAAAAGAAAAAGAACGAGAGAGGTGAAGGTGCTTTGGAAAGTGAGACGGCAGGCACGAGAAAGAGAACACACGTTCTCGTATGTGCGCGTGCCTCCGTTTGGCCCTCGCTACCCAAATGGTGCAGACATGGACCATCACCAAGCAGAAAATAAAGCAATATACGGGAAAGTCCAGTTGACGCCAAAGGTCCCGAGCTTCCAGAGGACACGTCGGCTGCTCCTTGACTTTTTTGAGCACCAGGCCGCCCCTCGGCCTCCGAAGGCCCCTGAGATCCCCTCTTCTCCCCTTTCCCGTCTCCCCCTCAAGGTCCTGGTCTATGTCCCCGGGGGAGCAGGCCGAGGGCTCAGCATTTCCAGAGGCGCCTCTGGGCAGTACTGGAGCCGGCTTCCATAATGTAACTGCACACAGTAGGGCGCTGGGAGAGCTGCCTGTCCGCAGGGATGAGAGGACAAGAAAAGGAGGGGAGGGAGCACCCCCTGTAGTCTGCAGGCGAATGGAGCGGCCTAGAGAAAGGTTTTCTCTGTCCTTTAGGGAAAGCTGGTGGCCGACGTGGCCAAGCGTCTGGGGGTGAGGCACGTGGTGTTCAGCGGCCTGGAGAACGTGGGGCGGCTGACGGGCGGCAAGGTGGAGGTGCTGCACTTCGACGGGAAGGGCGAGGTGGAGGAGTATTTCTGGTCCATCGGCGTCCCCATGACCAGCGTGCGCTTGGCAGCTTACTTCGAGAACTTCCTCTCTTTATGGAAGCCTGCGAAGGCCCCTGCTGGCGATCACTACACCTTGGGTAAGTGGACGGTGCGGTGGGGTTGCCCAGACGTCTGCCCTCCCTCCCTGCCTCCCTTCCTGCTTGTCCTCAGCAGACACTTATCACTAGAGCACCTACTATGTGCTCAGCTCTGTGCAAGGTGTGAGAGGGAGACCACATTGTCCTACACCTGCTGGGGCAGGACTCAAAGTGCTGTCGACTACGTGGGAGTCCAGCAACGTAACCATTATGCCATCTGCTGGTCCCAAAATTCCTATATATTTTAAGGTTGTTTCCAAGATTAAGCTGGCCAATTTTTTTCTTCTTTAATTTCTCTTCTTTTTCTCTTTTCTTTTCTTTTCTTTTCTTTCTTTCTTTCTTTCTTTCTTTCTTTCTTTCTTTCTTTTTATTAAGATTTTTGCTATAGGGCACATTAACTCATCAGAGAGAGAAGAAGGAAACTGAGAAACCACATCTGCTACCCCCTTCCCCCAAGGGGAGTGGCCACTTTGCAATTCCTTCTCCTCCATCTCTTCTTGGGGATTTAGGAATAAACACACAATGCCCACCATGTTTTTAAGGTACCGGGTCCGGGACGTGCACTGCACAGTTGGCCAGGCAGGATCCAGCAGCTTAATCACTATGCCACTGCTGGCCCACCAGCCGATTTCTCAATTCACTCATCCACGCACTAAATCTAGAGTGGCTTTCTACGTGTCAGTCACTCCCTAGGGAATCGGGTGAACACAGACCGAGCTCCGCCCCTGCTGTCTAGCCCGTTGGGCGTGGCTGTAGCTCCCCAGCCTGGGTAATTCATAAAGCAGACAGGTCAGTTTCTCACAGTCCTGGGGCTGGGAAGTCCAAGGCTGAGGGGCCACACTTGGTGAGGGTCTTCTTGAGTAGATGGTCGAAGGTCAAGAGAACACTCAGGACAGCCCAAGAGGGAAGGGCTGACCTCGTCCCTTTGGGAGAGCCTCTCCCTGGGTGAGCAGCTCGCTCTGAGACGGGGCCCCGGCCCGTTCCTGGGGCAGGCTTCCCTCTCCAGGCAGCTCTCGGCTCCTGCCCTCAGCACTGGTGCACCGAGACTGAGTTTCCAGCACACGCCCCGTGGGGCCACGTTCAGGTCACTGCAGCCAGGAGGCTCATGTCCTGGGGAGGGCGACAGCCCACAAGAAGCATGCTGGGTACATGTGTCGTGTGTGGGAGGGCGGTTCGTGCTTTAGAAGGATCAGGGCAGCGTAAGGTAGATGCGCGTGCCAGCAGTAAGGAGTGGGGTGTGAGATTTTTAACAAGGTGACCGGGGAGTCTCTCTGAGAAGGTGACGCGGAGCAGCTTGGATGGGGTAGGCAGCGAGCTCTGTGGGTATTCCAGGGAGGAGCAGTTCAGGGAGAGGGGACAGCCAGTGTGGCTGGCACAGAATGAGTCAGCAGAGCTGAGGCCCGAGCTAACAGAGGGTCTGGTCCTGCGAGCCTTGTAGGCCGTCGGCTCTTCCTCTAGAGAGAGACTGCCATTGGAGGGTCCCGGGACAGACACACGTGGGCTGACGTCAGTGTGTGCAGGGTCACTCTGAGTTAGCGTCGAGAGAGTACTGAAGGGCCAGAGTCCACCCAAGGAGGCCAGCTGTGCAGAACTCCAAGTGAGAGCTGATAGTAGCTTGGATAGGTTGGAAACAGGGCGATGGTGATAAGTAGCAGGTTCTGGACATACTGTGAACGGGATTTCCAGAATCAAAGGCTAGGGAAGGTGAAAGAGATGTCAAGGCTGACTCCAGGATTGGTGACCTGAGAACACGGAACAATAATGTTGCCATTAACTGAGGTGGGGACATCTGTAGGGGGAGTAGGTTGTAGGAGTGTTGGTAGAAGCTCCGTTTAGGGCCTGTTGAGTTAAAATGTATATTAAACTGTGAAGTAAGGATGTTAAGTAAGAAATCGGGCAGGTGGGTCTGGAAGTTCCAGCAAAGTCTGGGCCAGCTACGATGAGTCGTACTTGCTCATAGCAGATACTTAGCAAATAGTTCCTTTATTTATTTATTTTTATTTATTTTAGTTTGCTATGTGGTTCATGGACTCACTGGAGAGAGACAGAGAGAAGACAGAAAGCGGGAAATCACCCCATGGGGATGGCTGTGCTGCAATCCCTTGTCTTCCATTCTTCTCTTGGGATTTTGGTACAAATGCCAAAACGCCTGGTGTGAGTTTTTAAGCTGCCAGTTGGGTCTTAAACCGTGAAGTCGACCACAGTGGGTCTCACTGCCATAATCTGCACCGTCTGCTGGCCCATGGCTGCTCTTCTAAGTCGGTACCCAGACATTATAGCACTATAGTGTTTTCCCCAAACAGCGCCTTGTAAGGGGCGTAGATTGAGGCTGCTCAGTTTTACATGGCTTTCTTGTACCTTTTGTTGAAATGTTTAATTTGAGTTTGTGGAATCTGCCATGGACGTATTGTAAATAGGAATTTTTATCTTTCCTTTTTCTTCAACCAGCACTGCCCATGGGGGACGTTCCGATGGATGGAATCTCTGTTGCTGATATTGGTCCAGCCATCTGCAGCATTTTCCAGTCTCCAGAGGAGTTTCTAGGCAAGGCCGTGGGCCTCAGTGCAGAAGCTCTGACGGTTCAACAGTACGCTGAGGTTTTGTCCAAGAGTTTGGGGAAGGACGTCCGAGACGCAAAGGTGAGTTCTCGGAGACATCGATGTGATCACAGGAAGCCCCCATGGTTATATTCCACCGACTCAAGGATTCTGGTGGACTTTGGGGGCTGTAGGCGGGGTGAACTTAGAGGGCAGAGACACTGAGGAGGACTCCCGTCCCACAAACCCACCTGCACTGCTGATGCAGCCAAGTCCCTCCTGGATGGCTTTATTTCTTTTCCTTAAGGTTAACTAGCTTGCTAAAGTGAAATACCACTGGATGGAAAGAAACTAGTATTTGAAAACAGAAGTTCAATTTTTATCTTTCAACTGTCAGATGGCATGCGTGCTCACCATAGAGACCACAGAGACACACTCCATGGGGGTCTGGTCATGCCACAATCCCTTTCCTCCGTTCCTTCATCTGTTAGGATTTGGGACACACACACGCATGTGTCTAATGTGCCTTTCAAGCTGCTGGGCGTGGGATTTGAACTCTGGTCTGCAGTGGAGGATCTGGCTCCCTATGCACCTAGCTTAACCTCTGTGCTGTGGGGCAGCCCCGAAGTACCACTTTTCCACATATACCCTCCTAATTACGCTCATAAACTTTTTCTTTAGAATTATTTATTTATTTATTTGGAGAGGTTTTCTCTATAGGGCGCGTGCGCTCGCCAGACAGACAGAGAGAGACATAGAGACAGAAAGCGAGAAATCACCCACCAGGGGAGATGGCCACGCCGCAATCCCTTCTCCTCCATTCTCCTCTCGGGATCTTGGGCACGCACACACACGCGCCCAGCATGAGTTTTAAGCCACCGGGTCCGGGACGCGAACCGTGGTCAACTATGTGGGAATCCAGCGACATAGCCGTTACTCTAACTGCTGGTTCCCTAGAATTATTTATTTATTTTTAAAGAGTTATTTATTTATTTAATTTAAATTATTGTTATTATTATTTTAATTTGACCAGAGAGAGACAGAGAGAGAGAGAGAAAAAGGAAAAGTGAGAAAGCAAAACCACCAGGTCTGAGACCAGAGCCATGTTAGCCATGTGGGAGTCCAGCGCCCTAACCACCACACCACCTGCTGTCCCCAAATTTATTTAGTTTTTATTTATTATTATTATTATTTTTAAATTTGCTGTAGAGCATGTGTGCTCACTAGAGAGAGAGAGACAGACAGACAGACAGAGAGTGAGAAAGCAAGCCTCATCCTCATTTGTGAGTTGGGGCCCAGTGCTGCGGGGCGCTCCTGTGAAAGCAGAGGGAACCTGTTAGGCAGCCTTCTGCAGTGTCTGGTACACAGGGGGACATAGTGAGTGCCCACTCTGCCTGTCCTGTATTTAGCGACTTGCAGCGGACCAGGGTAAACATGGCACACTGAAGGCACGGAGGTCGTTACTGCGCACGGCAGTGGAGGTGCAGGTCGTGTCGTGGGGGCTGTGTCACAGGGACCAGTGAATGGTGGAGAAGGTTCTAGTGTTCCCTGAGGGAGAGCAAGACAGTGACCATGTGGAGGAGGAAAGTGGGGCAGCCTGGCTACATTCTAGGATCAACGACCTGTCAGAGGCAGGGCGGGAAGTAAGCTTGTCCTGGCTCTGCCCGAGTCTCTGTGTAGAGTCTTGGCAAGTTTCCTAACCTCTCTCAGCCTCAGTTTCTTCGTGTGTTTGAGAGAAACCTCCAGGGCTTCCCTCATAGGACTGCTGTAAGGGCGAATTGAGATCTACGTGGCAGGCGCGTGGCTCCAACTGTGGCACCTGGTAGGCCTTCAGTCCCTGGTCGTGCTGTGAACCACGCAGGGGTGTGGCCTGGACGACGGGGCCAGCATGGACCTTTTACAGAAGGTGGGAAGGACAGGATATGGAGCGTGGCTAGCCATTGCCCCAGCAGGTGTCGATAGGAGGGAAAGAAAAAACAAACAAAACCCAAAAGACTGCTGTTCTCAGGATACAATGATAGGTCTGAGTGGGAGTGACGGAGACCGTGTGGTGCAGGAAGCCTGGAATATTCCATCTTGCCCTCGGGAGTGCCGTCTGCCAGCCTGGTCTAGAATGTTCTCTGGAAGCAGGGTTAGACTGGAGGTGCTCGTCTGCGTCAGCAGTTCTTGGTCCAGTGGGTCTTGACTGTGTGTCTGGAGTCCCAGTCGGCCTCAGGCTCTGCAGTTCAGGGGAGGCTAAGAGACACACACATACACACACATGCACACGTACTCACACACACACGCACACACACGTACACACACGTACACACACATTTCAATATCATGATAGAAAAATATCATGTCGTGTCAATTCAACCACAAACGCAAATCTGGGCGTCTCACTGAAGTCACCCCAAAGTACGTGGACCAAACGAGTTCCCCGACAGCTCCCCCTCAGGACCGGGCTCTGCAGTGCACCTGCAGGCTCTTATACCTGGTGCAGGGTTGTTCTCGGTGGTCTTTCTCTAAGGGTACTTGCATCCGGGTGTTACGTTTATTTCGTCTTGTAGATTTGTTTCTTCTCTTTTTTCTTTTTTTTAAGTTTATGTGTTTCTTCCCTGAGAGAGGGAGGCAGGGAGAGAGAAAGGGTTAAGAAAGGGGGACACGGGCAGCAGAGCCCTCCTGTCTTGGTCCCACCCCCAGCCCCAGCCAGGCAGTGCCAGTGGCACGCTCACATCTGCACCACCTGTACTGGGAGACGTCGGGGTTCAAGTGGGGAGCCTCAGCGGCCCGGAGTACTGGGCCATCACAGGGTTCTAGATCAGGCCAGTCCTGAACTCAGTAAGGAAGAAGGAAAGGGGAAGGTGTGTGA